CATTAATTTGGAGCACCTTGACAATTTTATCCATATTTTAATCACAACACAAACCATAAAAACAGACCTTCCTCCTTGCCATTATGTGTTTAATTTTAGTGTGACAAAGCATACTATTATTCTGAAACATCAAGTTCTTCTGGAAAAAACAAAAGAACATCTCTCATACTGATAATCTCCATAAATCACCTCTCAGTTAATGTCCAGTCAATTAGAGCTCAGGACTAATCATTTCTTAATTTAGAAATGTTGAATTTTATGCTATGAACTTGAATAAATATACACTGTCCCTAAGTTCATAGCTATATTTTTAAGCGAATCAAAGTTTAGTTTCAGTTAAACTACAGTGGTCATGCAATGATTTAGGGGGTAATTGTGGAGTGTATAGAAAGAACACTCATATAATTTCACCCAATTTTGTGCAAATTTGCTATACTCATTAGCATGCCCATTGGAAAAAATAAATATGCAACTTAAATTTAAAACATTTTTCAAAATTAGTTTTTGGGCAGCTTTGAGGTTGAAAGCATGAGTTTGAAATTATTGGCAAAAATTGGGTTTAGAACTGCAGTTATCTACAGGTTTCAATTATACATGTTACTTTTTTCTCCACTATCCCCTAAGACACGGAAAGTTGGATATATTAACTTGTCATATTATCTTCAGCCCTGAAGCTTTTACAGACAAGTCTGAGCTTATCTATCACTTGTGAATTTTTTAAAATAGTAGACTTTATGCATCAACGTCCTGGCTGCAATACTCGTTAGTGTGATCTATCTCTTTTCTCTGTTTTTTTCCATACTTTTACTGTCCTCTTGTTTTCCATCTTCAACTCTCTTCTTAAAGAGAACAAAAAATTCATTCTTACCTAACATCTCTTCTACCAAATAAAAAGAAGCAAGACATAGCATTTAACTTAAAATACGAACTGTTTCTGCTTCATTACATGAGTTCTCTACCCAATGTGTTTGTGTTTAATTTCAGAGTTTTTTAAACCCTGTGTTTTGTATATCCATATTCAAGTGTTATCTTAGAATCCAGCTCCTTGGAATCAGGAAAAATGCCACTTTTGATCTGTTTGGGGGAAACCGGGAGAGATACTCCATAGATATTCATGAATGAGGAGCTTGTTTCTACACAGCATCATTAAGAGACTATGACACTAATAGGAGGACGCTTTTTGGGAGAGGCTGTCAAGTTAAAGTTTTATTCGACACCTAACAGACTGCCATGATGCACAGCTATTTTCTTGTCATTCTTTATCCACTGCCCCCATCCTTACATCAGGATACAAGCCATGCATTTGTGTTTTTAAGTTCCAAAAGTAGAATATACCAGCTGAAATATTAAACCTGACTTCCCTTATTTTTGTGATACATGCATGTGGTTCAGCATCAGTGGAATGATAAACAATTAAATCAGCACATTTATACAAGTGCAGAGACAGTGGCGACTTGGCAGGGTTAAATGAAACGGTACAGATCTGCCTCAGGGCCATTTTAAACAAGAGATTAAGAAATGGAACCTAAGCCAACAGGGGAGAGAGACGATGTTTACTTCATCACAAACATCAAGTAGAATGTCGCCGTGAAGACTTTTGCAAGGTTATTTCAGTAACCAAAGGCATTCTTCGCAAAGCTACAGTCTTCAGTCTACGGGGAGGGTTTCTGTAAACTTTAGAAATATACTAATGCTGGATTATTAATATCATCAATGCCACAGATATTAATAGAACTTCTATGTTCAGAGACTGAGCCAAGTGCTGCAGATATAGAATGAACAATCTCTAAAATGGTGCTTCTTGAACCTGGCTGCCTCTAAGGACCCATCTCCTAGAAGCCATAAATGACATCAATATCCCCGTCCCTCTTCCTCCCCAGACTCTCAGTCAACACGTCTGGGGTGGGAACTAGGCATCTGTAGTTTTTTGAAACTCCCCAGGTGATGAAATATTCATCCAGAGTTGAGAACCATAGGAAGTCCTGGGATTGCATATCCCTTAAAGAAAACACCACCAACCACAGTTCCATGTAGTCCCAGGAACTCTATACTTTGCCAGGAAGTGGAGGGGAGTTTACAGGATCCCAGGGACAGGCCAAGGGACAAGGAAGGCGTCACCAAGGAAGCAACACGAACACATTTCAGAATTCTAAGTAGTTACAGCTAGCTAACAGTTCTTGAAAAAGTATGACATGCCAAGTGCTGTTCATGGCACCAGAGACAGTCCCCATGAGGAGGTAGATGTTATGTAATGTGTAACACACATCACCAATGAGAAATCTAAGACTCAGGAAGCATCGGGTTATTTGCTGGAAAAATCACAAAACTTACAAGTGGCAGGGTTAGAATTGGAATACAGGCCTCCTGTCTCTAAATCAACATCATTTTTGCTATAAATAAAAGAAACAGGTTTAGGTGATTTAAATGTTTTAGGGTTTCCAGAAAAAAAGGTTTCAAGAAAGGCTGCCCTTCCAATAGCTAAAAACAGATTTTACTGCTTGTTTGTCCAATACCATTTTTAATGTTTCCTCTGGGGTTTTTAAAACATGCGAGTATTTTACTTTCTTTCAAGTTGACCTAGTGGAGACCCAACCCTTGCAATGCCTTCCAGAAGAGCAATTTCTTCTTCGAATTGAATTCAACCTGAGCCCCAGGAAGAATCTACTTAACTCATTTGCAACCACTGATGTGCATTTACGTGATTCCAAATTCTGTTCCTGGTTGCCACTGACGTAAATTTACCTCATCGTGGAAGACTGTCTTTTCAGGCTTAAAATCCAAACAAAACTACAAAGTACGGAAGGCTAGTCAGACTGGTATCTGAGGCAAATACTGGATATGTCTGCAACCTTCAGCTGTATTGTGAAAAAAGTGACAATTTAGAAAAGACCATTTCACTTGTGCTTAGCAACAGAAGTTTGCAGCTACCAGCTTCAGATTGTTTTTATTCTCACCCGCTCTCAGTATTAGTAAAGTGAAAATTTTGCTGGTCGCGATAATAGTCATAGTGACCTGCGCATAGCATATCTCTATAACATCAGGGGCACTAACATCTCTTGTTTTCCTCATAGCTGTGTCCTTTAACTATGCAAGATTTATGACCTAAGCCATTTGCAGAAGGCCCAGGCAGGAGTTAAACTAATTAGTCATTTTGGCCCAAATGTTATGAATGGTTGTATTAAAGCAAGTGGATTGCCTGAGCCCTCGGGTTCGAGACCCACCTGGGCAACTTGGCGAGACCTCATCTCCATAATAAGTCAAAAAATTAGCCGGTTGTGGTAGCCCGCCTGTAGTTCCAGTTACTTGGAAGGCTGAGGCAGAAGGATCACTGGAGCCCAGCAGGTCGAGGCTGCGGTGGCCAGGAGCGACCACTGCACTCCAGTCTGGGTGACAGAGTGAGACTCCAACTCAAAAAAAAAAAAAAAAAAAAAAAAAACAGAAAAAAAAAGAAAAAAGAAAACTGCAAATCAAAACCACACTGAGATACCACCTAACCCCAATAAGAATGGCCATCATTAATAAACAACAACAGATGCTAATGAGGATGCTGAGAGAAAGGAATGCTTCTACACTAGTGGGAATGCAAACTAGTGTTAGTGGGAATGCAAACTAGCGCAACCTCTTTGGGAACCTGCCGGGAAACTGCTAGGGTAGGGAGGGGCATACCTCATCTACATGGGTACCTACATAATCAACATTTGTATACCTAACCCTGATTTGTACCCTACATCTTTATATTAAAAAAAAAGAAAAAAGTACCCTTAAAACTACAAAGTGTAGAAAAAACTGTATCTCCTTTCAAGAATTTTTGGGGAAAATTTTAACAGCAAAATGTATCAAGTAAAGCAAAGATGGAGACTGGAAATGATAGTTTTATTCAATAAGAGGTAACTATAGTTCATTTCTCTTAAATTGAGTTATACGTTTTCCAATAAAACTTCTCATCCTAAGAATCTATCACCTAGTGAGTATGATATCCATTTTTTAAGAGGTTAGTATTGCTTTAACTCATGCTGTTCTCTCTGACTTTCTCTTCTTCCCTCATTATACTTTCTGGAACTTTCAAATAAACATGTGCTCCCACACACCTCCTAACTATCCCAGATCTTCTTTGTCTCTCCCTTATGACATTTATTCCCCAAGCACATGAACCATCCAGGCACCAAGTACATAGCAGATCCTGATATCAAATTTGTAGAATAAACATCAAATGGGTAGCACTGAAATCTTCCAGCAGTTTTGGCTATTACTCTGAAAGGAGCTTCTCCTGCCAACACTGACAGTTCTGGACTAAAGCAACCCTCATATCTGTCAGAGAGGCACAGTGAACTATTATGTAATTACTGCCACTGCAGGCACAACGGTCTTCATTTCTTCTCCACTGCCAACCAGTCGCACAGATTTGGACAATATTGACCTCCTCTGACTTTGCTTGCCTGCACTGTAGAATTGGGGCTAGTAATGCCTTACTTGCCAAGAAGTAAGAAGCTGGTCCAGATGGCCTTACAAGGTTTCTTCTAGCTAGAAACTATGACAGTTCTTTGACCAGCTCAACCTTTCATAGTTTTATACTAACAACAGAGTTTGGGGAAAACATGACACTTCATTTGAAAGTGCTGTGAAACATGTAATACTGAAATGACAGTAATCTTTTGATTTAAGTGAATTAAATATATTGCATTGCTAATCCTTACTTATCAATACAGGTTGAGTGCCTCGAATCCAAAAATCCCAAATCTAAAATGCTTCAAAATCCCAAACTTGTTGAGCATCAACATGATACTCTAAAGAAATGCTCACTGGATCCACTTCTGATTTCAGATTTTCAGAGCAGGAATGCTGAATCAGTAAGTATAAATGTAAATATTCCAAAATCTGAAAAAAAAAAATCCCTAATCCAAATCACTTCTGGCTGTAAGCATTTTGAAGAAGGAATACTCAGCTTGTACTATGAACACTCGTGTCTGCTAATGAAGAACCAGCAAGCCTCTGTCACTTACCTTTTGACTTGCGGTCATGGTACGACCTGCCTCGGTAACGAGCGGTGTCCAGATACAAATTCTCAAGATCTTCTTGCCACGAGTCTGGATTGAAGTGCTTGAGCAGATCTTCCACAGTGTCGAATTCTGCAACTGTTTTGTCCAGAGCATCCGCCGTGAGAGTGGGATCCGTTACTGATGGAGAGTGATATGACACCCCCTAAGAGTGACATACAGCTCAGTGTACTCAGAAAAAGTCCATGGCTAGGAATACAAGTCATTCAACTATATGAGAGGAACATAAACAGGCTTTTGAGTGGAAGACATCATATGTCTAAATGCAAAAGCAACCTGACATTGTCTTGCATATTCTTAAATAATTAATTGGCAAAAGACAATCATTCCCTTTGTTGCAAATCAAAGTCAAAGAGATTAATGCAACTCATCTGAGTTGTGGTCATTTAAAATGATACATACTAGATGGAAATATCAAAATTAAGTCATCTAATTTCTGATTCAAGGTCCCAAATCAACCATATATCAACAAATAATGGTAAGAATTAAAATGTCAAAGTCTTTCCAAGCAAGTTTAGATAATTCTTTCCATTCTTCCACACTCAGCCTCCATGGCCCCCTTTACGGGTCACCTGGCGTTGCAGATGATGCGTGAGTAGTGTTTGAAATCTATTCTGGAGACATTTTGATACAAGCTGGCCCCTTTAACCAACTTATTTACTGCAAACAGGAATAATTAGCCATGAAATGGGCTCTCTTGAATTGAGTGGAGGATTCACATGCGAAACATTTTTAAAAAATGTGCTGTAATTTGCTAGTCATCCCAATTGCTATTAAAACATTCTCAGGGATACTCTTCAGATGAGGAACACAACATCATAGAATGCCTAGAAAGGATTGTGTACTTTGCCATAGAATACATCCCTACATAAGGTTTCCAAGCATTTACTTCACTAACCCTTGTACAATCTAGAGGTAAATGAGCCATGATTCAAACATCTCTGTAAAAATTCATGACCCATTAACAAGGAAATAGAGAGCACACAGCCTCAAATGATTTTTAAATGTCTTTAAAGAAACTGCCAAACAAATAAGATCCCCTGAGGGCAAATATCTCCTATCACGAAGGGGAAATAGAAATTAATGAAAACTTGCTTTCCCGAAATTTAACTGCAGTGTCCAATCAAGAAATAATGGGTACTACAGAATCTCAGACACCAAAGCCCACAATTTATATTGTCACTTTCAGGCAATGTTGTCTCTAACCAATCTAGGTCTGAGGGTTGGTAAATGATTCAAGAAGATCACCTGTTCTCAGAGGAATAGTCCCTGTGTAGTAAAACTAAGGGGGTGTAAGTGCATTAATCTACCATTGGTGTAATTTAGGAGCAGTTTCTAAAAATGCCTTGTAGGAAAAGGGACCGGGGGAGTGGGATGGAAGAATGAAATATATTGATGACTGTGTTAAGCCAGTTCAATTTTTTTTTCTTTTGGCGAAACTAGACATCTAATTTTTTATCATCCTTGTTAACATAAATAGACATTCTCTCCTGACCAAATCTTCCCTGCCATGCCACGTTCATTACCTGCTTATGACTCCACTCTAAATTCTGCTCAGCTGTATCCAGGTAATAACAACGATTTATCTGGAGGTATGGTCTTTGTCATGCATTACTGAAAAGTCTAGAGATTTATTAATAGTCCAAGCTATGTTAAAGATACCTTTTACAGCCATCTTACTGAAATGACAGGGCTCTCATCTGAGGCAGCCTTGTATGTTCCTTCTGTTTTTGATTGGCTGGGTCTTTAGAGGATGTGTGTGTGTGTGTGTGTGTGTGTGTGTGTGTGTGTGTGTGTTTGTGTGCACGCGTGTGTGTGTATGTGTGTGTGTGTGTGTGTGTGTGTTTGTGTGTGTGTTTGCCTCATATGAGCTGAGCTGAACCTTGACTGAAATACATCATTTCCATCTTTCATGATCTCTCTTGGGATTACATACTAGGGGTGGATAACACTTATACTTCAGCACTGTAATTCCAAATCTATATTCAACTTGCATTGTCTGGTTAGTCTACAGTCTACTTTGCTCATATTCACCAGATGGTGTGCCACTACCTTTGCTTCAAAATGATTTGCCCAAAGTTAGGAGCAAGACAGACACAAAAGCTTTGAAATTAAACTGCTCCCCTCTTTTTAAAAATAAAAGCAGAGACAACACTCAAGCCATTCCCACACAAGTGAAAGCCTTTTGAGATAGCTCTGGGGAAAGTAGCTGCAAAGAGTTTTCTGGGGTGGCCCCTGACACTCCTAGTGGGGTGTACCCAGATGTCTCCTCAAGAGGACGTTGTGGGGGAGGGGGGCTCTAAATCCCTGAGGGGAGGGCGGGACTCAATCTCTTCTGACATTAGGCTGAAGAGCAAATTCAAACCACAGGTAAAATGTAAACCTGTCCTCATGTACAAGCTTTACTGCTGTTTTCAAGTTTTGACTCAGGGCCGTTGACAGAAGCAAAAATGATGGCTAAGAAAATATTCATGATTTATTAGGTGATCTAATAATCTCCAGAGAGCATTTTGTTTCTGAGGTAAGTATTTTAAGACAATTTTAGAGAAAAGAACTAATTGGGTGTGCCCCCTTCAGCTGCGTGATACATATGATCTCATTCAACTTTTGTTATGTGTTTATAAAAATCAATTCTAAAGTTTCTTTAGAATTTTTTAGAATTATTTAAAAATGATAACAATTGTGAAAAAAGTGCTCTGAAAGCTGTAAACTACTTTCAACAAAAACAACATATGATTTATACAGAAGTTAATGGTGGGTTCAATGGTTCTTGCTCCTATTCCAGAAAGTTCTGGAAAAATGGAATTCTGAATAAAGAAGCTAGCTTGCCCTGGTTTTCAAGAGAGCTAAGCTGCACCTCGACTTGGAACTTAAACCAGAAGAGTTTTCAGTGGCTGTGTACCCAGGGCTCAACTTCCCCAGATACTCCAAAACAATGGGACAATACCTTTAATTTTTGAAGTTGTAGTCCCTAAGCTTTTTGGCATCAGGGACCGGTTTCATGGAAGACAATTTTTCCACAGACTGGAGGGGGTTGGAGACCCCTGTGTTAAGGGAATCCCAGCTTCTCAGGCATCTTATACATGAGAGGTCAGGGTTGTCTAATCATTTCCACACCCTATACAGAATGATAAGCCTTGAAGGACGCTTAGCTAATTAAGGACCCTTTCAAAACAGTCTGTGGTCTGTTAGGAACTGAGTCGCACAGTAGGAGGTGAGCTGCAGGCAAGTGAGGAAATTTTCATCTGTATTTACAGTCACACCACATCACCCGTATTATGGCCTAAGTTCCACTTTCTGTCATATCAGTGGTGGCACTGGATTCTCATAGGAGTGTGAACCCTGTTGTGAACTGCAATTGCGTGCTCCTTATGAGAATCTAATGCCTGATGATCTCAGGTGGAGCTTAGGCGGTGATGCTAGTGCTGGAGAATGGCTTCAAATACAGATTAACATGAGAAGTGAGGTTCGACTGCACAGAGACCATAATACATCAATTGCTTGCTGACTCGCATCAAAACCCTCTCAGTGAGTGGTGAGCAAGTTGATGTATTTCACTTGCACAGCTGCATCTGGGGGCAGGCTTTCAGTCACAATCTGACACTCAATTGAGTCTATGCGTGGCCCACCCATTATTTTATTTACCACTTTCATTCAAACCTCTTTTTTTTATGGTGAGTTGTTCGATTATCTCATTATATAGTACAATGTAATCATAATAGAAATAAAGTGCGCAATAAATGCTATGTGCTTGAATCATCCCAAATCTAAGGTGCCCAAGAAACTGGGGAAATCCCTTAACACAGGGGTCTCCAACCTCCACCGGTCTGTGGAAAAATGGTCTTCCATGAAACCGGCCCTTGATACCAAAAAGGTTGGGGACTGCTACTTTAAAATTAACGGTACTGTCCCATCGTTTTGGAGTTTCTGTGGGAAGTTCAGCCCTGAGTCCACATCCATTGGAAACTCTTTTGGATTAATCATCCCTGCCCTGGTCTGTGGAAACATTTTCTTCCATGAAACTTATCCCTGATGCCAAAAAGGTTGGGGACCGCTGCCTTAACACTCAGTCTTGGTTGCAAAACCTGCCACTGGTGTCTACTTTGAGATATCAATCTCAGCCTGCTAACTGCCCAGACCTTCTGCTTAGTCTGAGCAGTTCCTCAGTAATACATTATTTGTTTTGATTTCCAGTCAGCTGACAATGATGGCCTACACCCAGCTGGGTTCAGAGTATGCATTCTGGACTCTCAAAGGCATACCAGGGAAACACCCATAAAATCACGATCAGAGACCTCCCTGATGTCTTGAGCAGATGATGTGCTAGTCCAGCAGCCACACAAAATGAATTAAATAGTCACAGAATCCATAGCTGAGTAAATGCTGCCATATAAGGGAATTAAAAAGAAAAAAAAAATGCCCCAGAGAGCAACAGATAGCATATCACTTCTGGAAACAAAAATCAACTCTGACTCAGCCTCATAGACTCACTTTAGAACCATGGACAAGCTTGTTCTGTGCTTCTGACCTTTCTATGAACAACTGCATTTACTATCTTGTATTTTATTGCAACATAAGTGCTACTTGTAGGATTGGTGAAAATAGGGTCTGCTCTTTCTGTGCAAAGTAGATAAGAAGACAGAATACTGAGGAATGACTAAATTTGGAGAAAATTGGGCATGAACCATTTTACAGTTACAGAATGAGTTATGTTTTATATCTAAGTCAAACAGAATATATGCCTGGTTTGCACTTAAGTTATCTTACTGTAAATATTGGGATTTTTTCAAGTCTAAAAAAGGACCTTTGAAAATACAGAGGTTAACAGCTTCCCCCCAAATAGTCAAAGAGCTATTTTGAAATTCCCCATTTGAGCTTGAGCCATGGACCAGTTTGATATGTCTGGACCGACCTTTCACTGAAATTCTCTGCTCTGAAACTGATGAATATTTAAATCATTGTCTAGCCCAATTTCCTACCATGGCACACTTGCAATTCCTAAAAAAAATACTTTCTGAAAGAGAGGAAAAAAGGGTCTCTGACATAACCCACCGTAACCTGAATGAAATGGAAGAACACATACTGCTTGAGATCTGGCTTTTGGTCAAGTCAAGATCCTTACTGCAGGTGAAGTCCTTGTGGGGTTGACCTTAGCTATTCCATCAGTTTCTTTCACTGGCAACAGAATAATAAATTACTTACTGAAATAGAGCTTGTGACTGATTCCCAGTTGGTCTCTGAGGCTGCTGCGGGTTGGAAATCTTCCTAGAAGGCAAAGAAATATCTATGTGAGTCAGTCAAACCCCTGTTCAATTCATTACGTGCACGGTTCCAACATCTTAGCCTTCTGGATCTTCTTCCAACTAAGTGACAACAGAAATAAGGCTACATTGCTGCTGAACAGGTCACCATTTGTCTTAAGCACCTCTCCTCCAGAACCCTGTCGTTTGCTTGTAAGTACTGGTGAAAGAGAAAATGTGCAGACAGGAGCTCAGATTTTAACGTTGCCGTTTACTGGCTGTGCGACTCAGGCAACCTGGTTAACCTCTTGAACCCCTCCCTTCCTCATGTGTAAAAGACTGGTGTAGACTGCTTATATTACAGGGCTGTTGTGAGAACTGAATGCATTCCTCGTGTAATTGTAACCGGCACTTAATAAAGTGCTTAATCAAGAATACTAATAATTATTATCATGACTGATGTTCATTTGCTTTGAACTGGGTTCTGCATCGTGCTCAGTCTTGCCTGCGGTGGTACTCCATGATATTAGTGATCTTTTCAAAGACACACTAACTTTCAAAGGGTTGCTCCTGACTCTATCAACAACTGTCAGGAAGGATGGCAGGGGAAGAAAGTAACTGGGAGTGACAAAGTACTATCCACTCGGGGAAAGAAGGTCAAGGGTAGACCTGAGAACATTAGTTATCTCAGACAAGGCTGAATGGATGTGTGCTAGCAATGGACCTCACAGAAATAAACTTCTCTTAATAAACTCGTCCCCATTTGTATGAGACTTCCCTGTTATCTACTCCAGCACCAGGAAGTTTAAAAAACATAAAGGGAAGGAAAGCTGATTCTACCATTTTTACCTATCAGAGATGGCTTCTTAACCTTGCTAAAATGAATCACCTTGGCGAATGTCTTCCCGTCTGACCAGGGAGTCAGAGCTGTTCTGAGATGAGGCTGAGAAATATTCAGCCACTCACGTCTGATAGCTTATTTACCCGAGTATACCTGCTGAATGAGAGCTAAGTATCAGGTCTAAATTTCATTAACATTTTGAGGAGCTGGAAGTGCATTTGTTAATTGCTCATGATGAGACTGGTTTATATATAAATGTCCTAAGTTGAAGAAAATTTCAGGTGATTACTAATGGAGAACTGAGTCAAATGTGGTCGAGAAAAGAGCCAATATTAAAAATTAACCAGACATCTTTATTCTAATTGCAGCCTCAGGGAAGCTGGGAAAGAAACAGAAACTATGATCTCTGTACTCCAAAACAGAAAAGACATAAAAAGGACACTGAATTCCCACAACAGAAGGATGTGCACAGTCAAATGAAGATTGGCATTTATATGAGTCTTCATGAGCAGGTGAGCAGATGAGACCAGGCAAGAAGCCAGGAAGCCAGTGGCTTCTTGCTGTACTGATGAGACTAATGGTGGAAGGATGTATGCCAGGTAAGATAATGACACGAACAATACTCAGATCATAGAATTCTCATTGTCATTCAGTAATTAAATATTTTTAAATCATTTACTATGTAGTATCTTCTAAGCTGAGGGTAAAATCACAAGGAAATAGCAAACTATCCCTATTCTCAAGGAATTCAACATATAAATATGCACATACATATACTCATGAGGGCACTGTAATACCAGTCTAATCTACATACCATGGTACCTGGAGAAGTGGGCTTGGAAAAAAATTCATATAAGAAGATGACTTGTGAGTGGAGTCTTGAAAGATAAGTAGATAGTTACTTGCAAGAAAGGTGAGGTACAAGATGTAAAGGAGAAGAAATGCTTAGATAATGTGAAGGAAGTATGTAGAAAAAGGAGTACTTTAATTAGGGAAAGTTAAGGAGACATGTTGAACATGGTGTGTTTGAGGTACCTATACAATATACAGGTAGAGATGCTCAGGGGGAAGTTTACTACACGAGAATGGACCTCATGAGAGAGACTTGAACTTAAGATACAGACTTGGGAATTACACAAAAATGCGATGAAAACAAGGAATGGATTATGTTGACCACATGAAAATCAGAAGAGGGAGAGTTTTAAAATCTTGAAACTAGAAAATAGTTCTAGAATTTTCTAGTCTAATCTCCTTATTTTAACAATAAGAAAACCAATTGTTAGAGAGACCAATGATGTGTTCTGTGTTGGGTAGCCATCTTCCGGTAAAGCTTCCATGAAAGCTCATATCTCAGTAGAAACTGTGGTTGGTGATCTCTCACATCATTACAACTGTCTTGGATAATGTTTGTCTGGGGAAGAAAGATGGAATCATGTCCAAAATAAGAACTGACACAACACTAGGAAAGGCATAAAGCAGAATGTTGGTAGGCAGTTCTATGAGAACATCTTTCAAAGTAGTCTTTTAGTTATTTAGATTCAATATCCATCCTCACCCCATTTTGTGATTTTAGTTCATGTTCTTTCATGGACACAAGGTAAAAATATTTTCTTAAGCTTTCTTAAAGTATGAAGGGCCTTTCATGCACAAGACTTTAGACACATTTTACACAGATAACTTTTAGCTTCTTCACTGTCTGGGCTACAGGATTCCAGTCAAAATGATCAGGCTCAACTGCTACCCACTAGTGTGGGCAAACCAGTCGTTTACAGCCAGAGTCCATTCTGATTGGTCAGTGCCTGTTTGTTATTTATAATAATCTTGGAAAATCTGGGTAGACTGCCTCCTTTTTTAGGCTAATGGAAGACATACTCCCTTTTCATGGGTGCTCTTAGTAGAGTAGTAGTACCCTTACCATTACTTTGAGAAATGCTATTAATAAAATACAACAGACAGTGAAAAGTCATTTGAACTGTATCAGAACAGCCCAGTTTACAAAGGACATGTTCTGTTCTTTGTCATGGTAAACTCACACAAGTGCTCTAATAGCCATGTCCCATTCTTCTGAGGAAAGATAACGATTTGCTAACTCCAACAAGCTGGTATACATTCAGCTCTTGATGCCCTTACCTTCTGCTTCTAAACTGCACTATCTTCCATTTTAAAATTAAAAATTGCTGACATTCTGGTTACTTTGCTCCTTTAGTACATGTAGGGAATTTCAGCACTTCGGTCCTATGTGTACCTTACAGTATTCCCCGAATCCTTCCTTGAGAGATGAACAAACCATGCTCAGAAAGCCAAATAAAGTGTCTAGCATCCCCAAACTAATTATTACTGGAGTCAAAACTAGAACACAATGAGCTATTGTGCATCTATTAGTTATATGCTCTTTCCAACCCACTAAATAAGGTTCTATATCATTCCATAATTATAGCCATTTTAATTTGTATTGCCTTAATCTAATAAAATTAATTTATATCATTAAAATAATTTGTCAGCTTATGTCCTGACATTAAAAGAATTTGTAATTATATTTTGGCAGTAAAGCTCATTATTTGGCATGTTGAAATGAAACTCCCTCATTCTCTGCATATTACCATTTGAAGTAGTTTGGAAACATAGATATGATTCTCAAGTCTTCACTTTTTAAATAGCTTAGTATGCATAGTTTGTTTTATATGAGAAAAGTGTTATGGACTAGAAAGTTGGGGAGGTATGTAAAAATACAATCTTAAAGTACTACAGAAAAATGCAGATAAATGTTTAAATAAGTATAGTGTGGAAGAGATATTTCTAAGCATAGATGCCAAAGTGAGCAAACATAAACATGGATACATCTTACATATACAAAATGTTGCATAAATCTAAACAACATCAAAACCAAAATTATAAGTATAATGACTAATAAACACATTTGTAACAGATATAATGGATAAACAGTTAATATCCTTAAAACAAATGAACTCATAAGGGAAAATGTTATAAAAACATATGTTCCATATCATTCTATTTGCTAGAAAAATGTACAGATGTGGGATTGAAGCAAGACTGAAAATATATTCACAAAAATATTGATATTGGTTAGTACTGACTAATAGATACTTTTTTCTGTTTTTCTTATTTGTCCTAAAATGTCATAATAAACATCTAGTTTTAGTAAAATGCTAAATTTCTAATACAACTATGGAAAAGAAAAACTGGATTGGAGTGTTGGCTCATTTACCCCTAAAGGCTTATCTGTTAGATTATTATATTTATTAAATGGTGTAACCCAAGTATTCCCTGGTGGAAAATAAAAGCCTTCTTGTAAAACTGTTTCTCATCAATTGCTAATAGAAAACTGTTCAAAGACTGAACATAAAGGTTCTAGAATGATCATATTTGGCTCCACCTAAGTCATGTTTAAAATATGTCACTGAAAGACATGCAAACCTTCAATGTGTTTAAAAACAGCCATAAAAACATGTAATTAGCCATCCTCTTAGTATCAGACAGGCGTTTGTCAGTCTTTGATCGTGAAAAATTGAAAGCAAATATACCTGGGGCTTTAATAACACTACAGGTAATGAATGTTTTCAATAACAACTATTATTATTGAAGACAGATCTGAGTGGAAATCTCCATTTTCAGAAAGGATATTTCCAGATAACCCTTCTTTTCTATTGGTCATCTTGGGCCCATATTAGAAGGGACAGCTGATATAATCTAACAAACATATGATCCATTCATTCCTTCACCAGAGGAAGTCTGTACACATTCAATCACTGGATACCAGCAATGCATGTCCAAAAGAATCCCTCTCTTGTCCCTTGATAGAGGAGGGAGAGACTCTTATCTTTCAAATCTTTGGAGACGGCTGTTCCCAGGCTAATATTCCAAACATTTGGGATGATTAGTTGTACCACCTGTTCCTGGATCTTGCAGAGGGTGGCTGTTCATTTTAATCCTGGGTGATTATGTTGTATGTGAATAAGTTAGCCATAAACTATTCACTGCTAGGGAGTTGTATTCTATCAGCACTTACAACATGCAGTTACTTCTTTAAAAAAAGCTTTCAACCAAAACAATCTTTAACTTACCAAGGACAACTTACTTTGGGAAAGTTCAAAAAGACATTTGCCCGAGTATTTTCTCTCATTGTGAACAAGTTTCTCCTGTTTGCTGTTTTATATTCACTCCAC